ATTTCACCACTCAATTCCTCACTGGACATAGCTCATTCAGAAGTTTCACTGAAAAGATCCGAAAGAGTACGGATGATATATGTATTTACTGTGGAGGTGTCGACGATGTGGAGCATACCATATTCGCATGCGACAGGTGAACCGGTGAAAGGTCTGGCTTTGAACTGAGTGCGGGTATGGTGGCTCCACCTGAAACGATGATTGAATCAATGTTAAGTTCCAAGGAAGCACAAAAAACCGCCGTCACCTCCATAAAAAAGGTGCTCAGACAGAAGGAGATTGAAGAAAGAGAGCACCAGAGGGAAGAAAGGAGAAGGGTTGTGTAAGTGTAGCTGTGTTACTTATATTATCTATCAGCAAATGTGATGATGAAAACTGTGATATTTCTATGTGTAGCGACGTGAACCAAAGTTTTATTTGTGAATATACAAAGTGTTTATGTTTAATTATCTAGTCATTTTTCTTTACTGTGGACATACAAGGAGTGTCATGTTTTTCAATGTCGGTGTCTGTGCCCACCAAGGGAGTGAGTCAGGATGGGGCAAATGCGAGGGTGATCGAAAATAGTACGCCGCTTGTGCTTGATGCTATGTTGCTGATACGGTTCCGAGCACAAGAGAGGGCGAGGGGTGGTTTTAGTCAGTAGAAGTCTGACACATTTGATTCGTGATGAATTCCAAGCGGTCAGTGTTCATGAGGATTTACACCCCACAAAAAAAAGGTTAGGTTTGGTTAGGTAAGGTTAGGTTAGGTTAGGTTAGGTTAGGTTAGGGGAAAGCACCAGGGCCTGATGGGGTGCCGACAGAAGCCATCAAAGAAGTTGCGGAAATTTCCCCAGACTTTCTCTTAGACACCTACAACACTTTGCTGCGGAAACAAAAGTTTCTGAAAATCTGGAAGGTAGCGAAGTTGTACTGGTTCCAAAGCCAGGTAAGCCTCTAGGAACACCGTCGTCTCACAGACCCATCTGCCTGCTGAGCGCGATCATCAAAATCTTCGAATGTCTACTTAAAAACAGACTCGAGCGGGAAATGGAAGAAAACGGCGGTCTCTCACGGAACCAATACGGGTTCCGGAAAGGGTACTCGACCGTGCAAGCAGTGCAAGAGGTGACGCGAACGGTGAAAAACTGCCGAGAAAAGTGGCTCGCGCTGATCACCATAGATATAAAAAACGCATTCAACGCAGCGTCTTGGGAACTGATAGAAGCAGAGCTGTCGAGAAGGCAGATATCAGCCTATCTGCGGAACATGATGAGGAGCTACCTGAGCGACAGAAGAATCATGGTTGGCGGCAGGGAACTGGAGGTAACAGCGGGAGTCCCACAGGGGTCTGTACTAGGCCCTTTACTATGGAACCTGTTTTACGACGGTATCCTGACGAAACACCTAATGGACGGTACCAGGTCCATTGGCTTTGCGGACGACCTAGCTTTTATAGCCACGGGGAAAGACGCGAGACAACTCGAGTACAGAGCTGACGAGTTGCTCAGGAGCATCTCGAATTGGATCACTCGCAACCAGCTGGAACTGGCTCCTGAAAAAACGGATGCTGTTGTTCTGCGTGGGCCATGGAGAAAGATAGATAGGGAAAAACCCCGTTTCCACCTAGCAGGGACAGAGATCAGACCCCAGGGGAGCCTGCGATATCTAGGCATCATACTAGATGACGTCGGCAGTTTCGGCAGGCATATAGAGTATGCCACAACGAAGGCTGAAGAAAGGGTAGGGACGCTGTCAAGATTAATGAGGAATATAGGTGGCCTCAGCAGCAGCAAACGGCAACTACTAAGCGGAGTGGTCCATTCAATCATGCTATGCGGTGCTCCAGTATTGGCAGAGTCGCTAAATGTTAGGAGATTCAGGCAGATGCTCGAAAAGATCCAGAGAAGAAAAACCCTGAGAGTCGCAAGCGCGCATAGGACAGTATCTCTCGGGGCAATACAAGTAATCATTGGCACTGTGCCAATTCACCTCTTGGCAGCGGAACGCGAGAGATTGCACGAAAGGGAAGATGGCAGGACAGCCAGGGCAGCTGAGCGGGAAACTTCTCTGGGAACATGGCAACAGGAGTGGCAAACAAACACAGACACTGGACAATGGACAAAGAGATCAATACCTGATGTTGTGGAGTACTACAGGTGCAAACACAAAAACCTGGACTATTACCTCACGCAAATTCTAACAGGGCATGTATGTTTCAAAACATTCACTAATCGCATCGGCAGAAGTGGAACCAAGATATGCGTATATTGCGGAGACAGGGACACCTCAGCACATACGATGTTCTATTGCGGAAGGTGGGAAGTACAGCGCCAGAGGACCCACGCAGAAATAGGAGAAACCCCGACAGAAGACACGCTAGGCAGGATCATCATAGAGAACAAGAAGAACTGGGAAGCAATCAGAGGGTTGGCCAGAGCAATCTTGAGCAAGAAGGAGAGCGATGGAAGGGAAGAGCAAAGAGGAGAAAACTGAAGTAACAGACCACCTGATATCTACGAAGTATGTTAGAAATAACGATGCCGTAGTATCAAGGGCTTGAAAGGGAGGTTTTAGTCGGTAGGAGTTCGACACTATTGGTCTGCGATAGAACAACAAAAGCGACCTTTGTCCATGATGGATTTTCTCCCAAAAAGGTTAGGTTAGGTTTGGTTAGGTTAGGTTAGGTTAGGTTAGGTTAGGTTAGGTTAGGTTAGGTAAGGTTAGGTTGGGTTAGGTTAGGTAAGGTTAGGTTAGGTTATGTTAGGTTAGGTTAGGTTGGGTAAGGTTAGGTTGGGGCCCCCTCAAGAAGCTGGTTGACCTTGACGAGGTGAGGGGGCTCAGTAGCCGCAATGAACCTGAAAGCGATGCCGGTGGGAGCGTAAGCTCCTGGTAGGGCCTTTCATGCCGGCAAGGTCGGGGGAGAGCGGTGAAGCTAAGAACAGCTCAACAGGAGAAAACCTGGGAAAAAATCTGAAACCCAAGGTGTTACGCGACCCGTGCCGATGGATGAATGGCCATGCGATAGTTGGTCACGAACGGAGCCTCTGGGAGTCAGGCGACCTCCCGGAGTAGAGCAGCCTTAGAAGGGTAAGGGCGCACTGCCCTGCCGGACTCTTGCACCGACCCAACTCATGGGAATAAGTATGAGCAAGCAACTTGACAAAAATATCACAAACATAAAAACAAAACAGAAAAATATATATACACTGCTTCTGGAAGACAGAAGAGAAAGCAAGAGCAAGTGGAAGTCGAACCGTGTCGGCGGAAGAAATATTCCCAGCTACTAGTGGGACAAAAATGAGCGAAGAGAAGGAAATTTCAAAATATGAATGGGAGAATGTAAAAGACCCTACCAAAAGAAAACAATCGCTGCAGAGAACACCAACGAAGACTAGAACGGACCTGGAAAAGGGTCAAGGTCCTATAGGAGGACAATCAACAAGAGACAGAATTGACTCAGCTCCAACCGACAATTCGGAATACATGATCCCAGGAAGAAGCACAGAAGAGCAAACACCCGAGGGGTACATGGATGAGGAACTAGGCAAGAGCCTTAGTTATGAATTAGCAGACGAGGACACTATAGAAGAGGAGGTAGTCATGGACGAGGAGTGGGTAGAGTGCAGACCTAAGAAAAGAAAGCGGAAAACGACACCCATGAAGAATAAGAAAGAGAAAAGCAAGGAAAAAGATAAAAATACGGTAGCACTTCTAGCGATGGTGGAAGAATTAGTTAACAAAACCTCTAAGCTGTTGAAACTCACCAAGAGCAATATCAATACGAAAGTAGAGATTAAAGTAATCTTGAGAGAACTTGAGCGATCAGCACAGAAGCTCCAAGAAAGGTCAAAATTTTTCAGCGACTCAGAACTCTCCTTTTACAGTACCGTAGAGGGAAGAGAAGCCTCAGAGACAGAAAATGCCAAGAAAGCGGAGGTGCGTTATATTCACGAGAATCAGCCGAGGATGAAGCCTGGAACGGACGTAGAAGAGCAACCAAGGCCACATGCACGTGCACTTGCACATGTCTTGCCTCTAGGTTGAGCACCCCTGAGGACCTGAAAGCGTCCCTGGAATTTGGGGATTTTGCAGAAGTGGCGATGCTTCGTTGGGAAGAAACAGTGTACACCAATACGAAAGTAATAACGGGCAACCCCCTCAACTCAGAAGATTGTGTTGTTAAGGTGGTTATAGTGGAACCAAGTGATCCAGGGATGAAGGACAGCATACAAAGAATGTATGAAGAAAAGTTTCCCGAACTACCATCACTGGAAGGGGATTTCGAAGTGATTGAACAGACAACACGAATCAGAGGAACAGGGGACACCCACAGAAAGAAAATAGTCAAAATGGCATACGACGGAACATCAAGGGGGCTCTGGGGGAAACTAAGCGAACTTAAGCAGGAGACTATCAACGACGAGCAGGTGTCCATCCACCAAGTCAGGGGGCAAGCGTCGAGGAGCTCCGTAGAATGACAGAGGTCATATTCCACACGGGCAAAACCAACGTGGAAATCTACACCACACTCCAGCAGAAGAATAGTCCGAAAGAAAGGAACACGTACGGAGTGATAATGAACGGGGGAAGTGAGTCCTACAAAGACATACTAGGAGAGGTCAAGTAAGCGGTGGGAGGCTCTGAGACGGCAAACGCTATCAGAGACATTAGGAGCACGAAGGACGGTAGTCTGCTGCTAACCATGGACAAAGACCAGCAGGCACTGGGCAAACTTAGACAGGCCATAGAAGAAGAGGGATCGCTGAAAGCTAGGAGCCTGGGAGCGGGAGGGCAGACCGAAGCTATCCACATAAGGGGAATGGCCAGCGATGTGACAAAAGAAGAGATAACTGGAGCTATCACACAGGTTATAGGCACCTGGTCCACCGAGTGCAGGATTAGCGAACTCAGAAACTTCCAGAACGACACCACAGCAGTTACGGTCACGCTGGCAAGGAAACTTCTGGCACACTTCTGAGGAAAGAAGTACTCAGAAAAGGTCTGGTGCGATGTGAAATGGAAAAGAACGTCAAAGTGGGTAGATGCTCCAAATTCTGGAGCCATGCCCACAAAAGAGAACAATGTGACGGGCCGGACAGAACAAATGGATGCTACAGGTGCGGGGAATCTGACCACAGGGCTAAGGAATGCCAAAATCAGGAATTCTGCCCGATTTGCATGGAAAAGGGACATAAAACTGGCACAGCGAGGTGCCCGGCTTTCGAAGAGGCACTCAAGAAAGCTAGGTCAGGAGCCAGATGGAGAAATGCATCCATGGGAGCTCTAGCAGACAAGGATGCGCCCACAACGACCGAGACAAATGGCAAGGTTCTGGGAAGGCAGAGCACTCTCTCTGCGAGTCAGGGGGAGAATAACAGCAGGGACAGCAAGCAGGGTCCAAACTTGTCCTTAGGAGAACCCAACAAGGAAGAAATGGCAATTAGTGGAGGGGCTGCGGAGGGGCCTCGAGGATCAGCATAAACCGAATTCGAAGGCATTAAGATTCTGCAAATCAACGTGGACAGGAGGAAAACGGCACATCACTTGCTGCAGCGCATGGTTGAGGAAACCGACTCAGACCTGATTCTGGTCCAGGAACCAAACCGAGCCATTACACGCAGGGACCAAAGGTGGATAATGGACCTTGATGCAGATACAGCGATATGGTGCAGAAACGGGAAATGCGGGATAGTCAGCCATGCCTCAGAACACGGTTTTACATGTCTGAAATTTGATGACTGGGCACTATACAATTGCTATGTGTCGCCAAACATCACGATGGACTCCTTCAAGGCATACATAGACTAGCTATGGATAATGAAAAATCAAATCAAAAAACAAATGACACAAAATGCTACAAGTGGGAGGAAGTGACGGACCCAACGATAAGAAGACCTAGCATATCAAAAACACCGATTAAAGACAAGAAAACAGAAAGCACACTAGAACCTAACAGCACATCGATTTGCACAACCGAGCGGATATATCATTCCTGACTACTGTGGCCTCCAAGATCAGGAGGTGGAAAAAAGCCCTACTATTGAAATAGCTACTGGGCAAAATCTCCCAGAAGACAAAAAAGACACCACAGATGAGGAAAACCCTACCTGTTCAGAGGAGATACCTACAGAAGAGGAGGAGGAACCTGTAGGAGGGGGCATATTCCAGGTGAGAAGAAGGAGACGTTAAGGAACACCAGAAAAAGACACCGAGCGCCTATACGAAAAGAGAAAGATGAAGCTATCTACAAACTGCAAAAAAATCATAAAAAACCTATCGGATAAAACTGAAAATCTGGTAAAACTCATAAAGGGTAATGTGAACACAAAATTAGAAATAAAAAAAATATCAAAGGAAATATGTACAACAGTAAAAACAATGAAGGAGAGGAGCAGAAAACTATGGGAACTGGAGGAGGAGGAAAGGAATGAAAGCCGAGAACAGACAACAAAAGCGCCTATTGCAGACATAAAGGGAGATAAAGACATGGGAATACAGGTGGACACTGATCTGGAAGAAATAGAGGAGATCAGGAGAGAGACCGAGGCTTCCGAAGACATAAGGAGAAACCTGAAAGAAGCTAACACAATAGAGGAAGTACAAACCGTGATCTGGCAAGACTGGCCGGCTCAAACATATAAAAACACGAACATCACAACAGAAAGCCCACTGGGGGAAAGGAAAACTGACCTAATACTCTGCACCAACAAGGAGAACGATGAGGAAAAAAGTATAAACAAGGCTTTTCAAGACAGATACCCTGAGCTAAACGACGAAGAAGGAGAAGCCACAAGAACGTACAAATTAGCCGAAAACAGTGTCAGGCTACCAGAAACCGGACAAACAATGGAAAGATCAATATTCAAGATAAACACTACTGCCATCGACCAAAACTCTGAAATCTCACTAGACCTCATGAAAGCAATCCAAAGCCCAGAAAATGACATGACAAATAACGAAAGAACAAAAGCAACAATGATGATAACCGAAAGTATTGACCAGGATGGAGTAAGGAAATTACTTGAATATACCCTACAGAATACAAACATAGAAATAGACATTTATATACCAAACAACAACAAAGCAAGGCCAAACACTAAAGACAGACAAGTTAGCACCAGAAGCACAAAAAAGAAACCATCAATGAAGAAGGAAGCAATAATAATAGCGTCCTAAGGGAAAACCTATGCAGAATTACTGAAACAAGTAAAGGAAAATGTGGACATAAGCAAGACCGGTGTAGAAATTGAAACACTGAGGAAAACGAAAGGCGGAGACATACTATTGACAATCAAAAGAGGCATTAGATCGCAAGAACTAATCGAAGAAATAACCCAAAAGATGCCAGGAATGAAAACATCTCTAATTACAAACTTGTTGAAAAGGAATATTCTCTGATAAATTATGAACATACAAAAATGGATATATATTTATATAAAGCAATACATTGAGAATTCGCATTCTCTATGTGATGAGAATATTTACTCTTTCTCAGTTGATTCAATAGAAAACAACTACTTTCCTGGCTATATGCCACGACGAACATTGAATATATATATTGAACACACACGATAAGAGTTTTAAAATAAAATATGAAAAAAAAATATAAAAACTTCTGAAATTGAGAATTTGCATTCTCCTTCAGATAAAAATATGTATATGCATAGGAGGTATGGAGGAAAGCGTCACGGAGGAAGAGATGAAGGAAGACATAGCGAAAGCAATCGAAACTAAGGAGGATGACAACGAGGTCAGGTCACTACGACCGGGGTACGGATACAAAAAGAACGCAACCCTGATAATAGCGGATATAGATGCAGAAAAACTGCTTAGACTTAGGAAACTTAGAGTGGGCTGGATAAACTGTAACGTAGAGGAAAGACTGGCAGACCCGAAGTGTTCTAGATGTTGGGACAAGGGGCACAGAAGAACGGAATGCTAGGGGATTGATAGATCAGACCTCTGCATGAGATGCGGACAGGAAGGTCACAAAGTGGCACAGTGCAGAAACCAACAAAGGTGTTTAACATGCAATACGGAAGGACACAGAACCGGAGACAAATGGTGCCCAGCAAAACAGCATCAACAATGCCTACAAACTTCCTCCAAATAAACCTAGGCAGGTCTAAGGCTGCCCATGATCTAGCCCTGAAAACAGCATACAGGGAAAACATAGACCTTCTCTTGGTCAGCGAACCTAACGAGAAAATATCATCAAAACAAGGTTGGATAAACGATCTCAATGGACATGCTGCGATATATTCCAAAAACAGAAAAACCGAAATAACCAATCCAAGAAAGAGCTATAAGAGTTGACACAAAGACAGCAAATATATACAGCTGCTGAATTTCACCAAACATACCCAGTGAGCAAGCCACCGAAATTATTGATGGAATGATGCAAGATATAAGAGACCAGGGCAAAGAGGCCATAATTGCTGGAGACCCAAACGCTAAATCACCTCTATGGGGATCACCGGTATCAGATGCCCGAGGAAATTACCTGTCAGACTGGATCGCAGCACTTGATCTTACAATACAAAACGACGGCAGCCCAACCTTCGAAAGAGGAACATCGAAAACCCATATAGACATAACACTGACAACAAGGGGTATAACGAAGGTGGTACAACACTGGCAAACGCTCAATGAAGACCCTTACAGCTTACATAGATACATAAAGTTTCAAATGAATGCCGGTACAGGAGGAAGAAAACACGCAAACGAAAGGCCCTACCTAGACAAAAGAAAATTCTCACAGATACTGGAAGAAGAACTGACAAGCGATAACACACCTACTGTGAAACACTACATCGAAATTGTTACTAAAGCCCAGCACGGGGCCACAACCACACAAAACAGCAAACCCAAAACCCAACCATACTGGTGGAATAACGAAATAGCCCAAAATAGAAATGAGTGCAACTCGGCAAGAAAAAGGATTACTAGGGCACGCCGAAGACCGCATGCTAACCCAAATGATGCTGAAATGGAGGAAAACCGAAAAAACCTTTGGAAACCACTGAGAAAACTCATCCATACCTCAAAGAAAGAGAAGTGGCGTGAACTATGCAGAAGCCTCGAAGAAGATATATGGGGTGACGGATACAGAATCACTAGAAGCCACTTGAAGATCCCAGCACTTCCATATAGCCTAGACGAAGAGACAAAAACGAACATGGTGAAAGCTCTATTCCCTGACAACAACGACAGCTGGGAAAGGAGACCAATCATACCAAACCCTCCTCCATTCACGGAGGAGGAACTTAATAAGGCGATAACGAAGATGAAAGTCTCAAAATCACCAAGTCCCGACAGACTAACACCTGAAACCATAATCGAAACTACGAAGACAGCACCAAGCTTTGTCCTGCAAACATATAACGAACTCATCAAAAGCCAAGAGTTTCCGAGACGATGGAAGAACGCAAGAGTGGTTCTCATACCAAAAACAAACCAGAACAACCTAACGGAAGGAATCCCACCACACCGACCGATCTGCTCACTGGACTGCCCAGGAAAACTTCAAGAAATACTCATAAAAGATCGACTCGAAGAAGAACCAAACGAAAAAGAAGCAATATCAGAAAATCAATACGGCTTCAGAAAAGGCATATCGACAATCCAAGCAGTTGAATGGGTGAAGAGGAGACAAAGAAACAAAAACAATACCTGGTGCGTGCTTATAGCCATAGACGTCAAGAACGCTTTCAACTCTGCGACCTGGAGCATAATTATAAGTAGACTACAAAAAATCGGAATTAGTGAGTACTGAGTACCTGATAACCATAATATCGAACAATCTACACGAACATACGGTCTCGATAGTAAAGGGAAACCACAAAGAAGTCACATCAGGAGTTCCACAAGGATCGGTACTTGGCCCGACCCTGTGGAACATTTTGTACGACGAAGTCCTAAAAATAAACCTTCCGGAAGGAGCTGAAACCTTAGCGTTTGCAGATGACCTGGCGGTTGTCATAGCAGCTGGTGATAAAGAAGACCTGATAGGAAAAGTGAATAAATCTCTAAAGAAAATAACCAAGTGGATGGGGAAGAGCAAATTGCAAATAGCCCCACAAAAAACAGAAGCCACAATTCTTAGAGGACCACGAAAGAGAAACGACATAAAGTTCAAGATACAAGACACAGAAATAGAACCAAAACGAGAACTAAAATACTTAGGCATATACTTAGATACACAAGGCACATTCAGTGCGCACGTCAAACATACTATAGCTAAAGCGGAAAGAACAAATTCTCTACTGTCCAGACTTATGCCCAACATATGTGGACCAAGCAGCGCAAAACGCCAAGTGATGTGCGGAGTAATGCACTCCATCATTCTATATGGAGCCCCGGTGTGGTCCGAAGTACTAACGCTCAGGAAATATAGGGAAAAGAACAGAACAGTTGTACTGCCCTTGTCGAATCGTGCGCGAGCTGAGTGTGTGCCGCCAGTGAGTCTGGTACTCCTACGGTGTGTCTCGTCTGATTTTGACTATATCAGCCTGGGTCGGACCGTAGTCGGCATCGCCTTGCCAGCTTAGGCAACAACTAGTTAAGTTTTGAAGTGTAGTGTTTTAATAACAGTTTCAATTCAATTTTTGATTGTGCTCGTACTAATTCATGAATTTCAATCTAAGTGAAATAAAAATGAAACAAAACAAAATTATCAACACATTTTAACATTAGTGTAAAACCCGAAAAATTGAGAAGGAGCCGCCAGATGGAGCTCAGCAGGGTGGGGAATCTCTTCCGGAGGGAGGGCTGGATTGAGTAGGTCCGACCGAGGGAGAGACTCCCACCCAACATGCTGGGACAATGAACTAGAACTAGAATAATGAAAAACCCGAAAATTTCATATGAACAAATTTCATCTTATATGAAAGAGAATCTCTTCAAGAAAGTTCCAGATAACCTGAAGGAGAAGGCCCTCCTGAAGTTTCACGAACTTATGGATATCGGGGTGGATGATTTCGACTCCTGGAAGGACTTTGCTCCAGGCAGAGCCCCCAGATATTTGAGGAGAAGGAAGCCAAATGCGGAAATAAGAGCAATCATCAAAAGCCTTAATGAGGAGCTGAGCATGGAGGCCAAACCAGAGGACTGCCCTAGTAACCTCTGGCAATTAGCTCATCACAAACATCCACAGGAGACGCTGGAGGAACGAGCCGAGAGAATAAGGGCATCCATGGTGCTCCACAAGAGGAATAAAGATGAGATCGAAGAAATCCACCTTGACATCGATAAGAATACCCAAATGGGCGGCCACGAGTGGGATGCTATATCCCTTGCCTCCACCACCAGGACAAGCACGTCCCCGAAGAAAGCACCTTCCCAACGCCCTAGAGTGGAAGAGGAAGAACAAGCAGCCAGAGACATGAGGTTGAGAGCCGTGAGTAAGGCTATCTCAGTCACTCCAGCCACTTCCTCACCGCCACCCTCACCGAGCTCTGAATCGGAGAGAGAGATCGTTTCGGCAACGGAGAGGTCTCTCAAAGCAGCAAACGAGAGAAATGATGCCCGATACACCAGGGAAGAAGGAGCCTTCAGATCTGGGAATATAACAAGCATGAACCCCTTGAGAGGCTACTCCTGAAATCTACAGGAAATATCGTATTGACCATCGAATCACATACGATGAGATGGTAGCAAGGAGAATGCAAGCAGCAGAGGATAACCTCTCGAATTCAGTGGCCAAGATATCACCAGAGAGGATGGACACTACAGCCCTACTACCGAGAAGGCTCGAGAAAAGACCCCGAGATATTAACAGTGTTCCAGCAGAGAACACGCGCAGCATTAAAAAAGCGAGAAACGACGACTCGGATGGATTCTCAGAACCTGAAAAGACAACTAAATGGACTGGAGCATTCCAGAAACGCATCAATACAATAACGCCGACGGCCAATCGCTACGAAGCTCTCCAAAGCAACGACGAGCCACCCCAAAATATTCCTCTGCCTACAGAACAGTCCTCGGATGAAGAGGTGACAAAAAGCGGCAGGAATAATCCGATGAACAAGAACAACTCCAAAACAGACCCACCAAGGTCCCAAAACACGCAAGCAACACAGAAACAAGCAGCACAGTAGCTAAACAAGAAGGCAGAGAAGCCACCTCCGATCGTCTTCGACGAAATTTTGAAAGACAGGAAAGAAATATTCCCTTTG